GTTCCCCGAGGACCCATTGGAGGACGAGGAATGGGAGCGTTGGGTATCGGAAGGAACCGTCGGTCATCAAGACCCGTTGCTCGAATGATAAGAACCGTTGGCAATGATCACACATATAGTCTACTGTCGGCCGAAGCGGAACACTCCTTCATTGCGCAAGCTTTCGGTGAATCCGGCAGTCAGTGAAGATGGTACAATGTAATGATATAATATGAAGAAAATCTTATACATATAAGGAATATCCTACTAAATCGCATTTTGATGATCACCATACTTGAGTATTCAATGATGCACGAGCTTGGCCGCCTAATCAGTATCGCGGGGGCAATCATCCAGGGCCTGACGTGGGCCTAGGTACTAGGTACCCGCGAGAAGGTCCCGAATCTCGGTCGGCGAGATTCCTCCCTCTAGAGCAGCGGTTCCCAACCTGGGAGCCGCGGCTCCCCTAGGAGCCGCGAGACTTTTCTGGGGGGGCCGCGGACGAATTTCTGGTGTAGGTCCGGGCCGTCAGGGTTTGTCAATTCCGAGGGAAGGTTCCGAAACGGATCGACTTCATCTGCCACGGTTGTGTTCCCGCCATTCCGCCCAACTCTATCGAGGAGTGAACGAAGCTAAAATAAGATCTCACTCGCTTCCACACCACCGCACGGAGCACCTTTTGTTTCCTTGTGTCTTCCCCGCGGAGAACACTTCATCCACCACTAAGCTTTTTCCCGTGAGCTTCGAGAAGCTCAACTCTTCTCTTCCGTCGAGAGAGATTGGACTCATTTGTTAGAGAGCTCTGGTATGCCCGCGAGGCTACCTTCTCCAGCCAGGAGCTTCTTGTCTCCGGAGATTCCCATTCAGTCTCTTTAACGAGGAATTGACGGGAGGGAGGCGGAATATTCGTAAACAATATATGTACATGCAAGTTATGAGTGCCGGAATTGAGCTGCGAATGGTCCTTTTAGGGGAAAAAGAAGGGAGGGTAGGTAGGAGCCGCGGGAGCCGCGTGGGTACTGGGTATCCTGGGAGCCGCGGGAGCCGCGTGGGCACTGGGATCCTGGGAGCCGCGGGGGAATTCTGGGTTCGCTAGGGAGCCGCGGAGCCAAAAAGGTTGGGAACCGCTGCTCGAGAGATTGATGCTGTCTGGGATTCTCTGAGGGTCGGAATCGGACTCTCTGCTCATGATGTATTCCAGAGGTTCAGCCAGCTGGAGAAGTCTATGAGGAACGCATGCCTACTGCAATCGGCATTCGAAATTTCGCGCCTCTCTAGCAGGTCGAAGCGGCGGCGGCTGAGCCTGTTGCCCCTCCCCGCCGATGACGTCTGCTAGCCTTCTCCACCACCGCTCGGAAATCATCCCCTGAAGTTACCTTGGGCCGCTGCTTTGGCGGGTACAACGAAGAGAATAAGCGGAAAAAATTCTACATCTAGTGTTAATTAATAAGCGAGATTCGCAGTGACTCCGCGTTCGATCCCGTTGAAGTTTGTTTTTCCCCCGAAAAAACACTCCGTGCCGACTGCGTAGTCGCTTGCCGTGACTTCGAAAGGGACAAGCGCCGAAACAAAATGAAGTTGACGGTGAGAGCGACAAAGGACAAATACAACGTCGAAGTGGACGACGATGCCGACGTAAAGACCCTCAGGGAAAAGGTGTCCGATGAGGTAAAAGCGCCTGTTGACCAAATTTGTCTGATTTTCGCCGGGAAAATTCTGAAAGACGGAGACCCTGTCACGTTGAATGGCCTGAAGGATGGCCTTACGGTGCATCTGGTCATCCGGAGTGGCAATAAACCGGCTTCTGCCGCTCCAACGACAGCTACTAGTGGTTCCTCGACAACGACGTCTGCAGGAAGTGGGACAACCACGAGCCCCAATCCAGGGAGCGAGAGTATTCCCAACATGTTCGGCATGGGTGGACTCGGTGGTTTGGGAGGTCTCGAAGGTCTTGGCGGACTCGGTGGTCTCGGAGGACTCGGGGGGCTCGGAGGTCTTGGCACGGGAGAGGGTTCCCTCCAAGAGATGCAACAGCAGATGATGAACAACCCAGAAATGTTGGCTCAACTCATGAATAATCCGTTCATTCAATCTGTCCTGTCGAACCCCGAGTACCTGAGAACATTGATAGGAGCGAACCCCCAGATGCAAGAGATCGTTGAGCGCAACCCCGAAATCGGCCATGTATTGAACAACCCTGAAATTCTCCGGGAGACCATGCGATTGGCTCGAAACCCTGCAGCTTTCCAAGAGATGATGAGGAATCAGGATCGAGCCATATCGAATTTGGAGAGTATTCCTGGCGGCTACAACCAGCTCCGCCGCTTGTACACCGATCTGCAGGAGCCGATGCTCGACGCTGCGCGGGAGCAATTCGGAGGGAATCCGTTCAGTAGTTTGTCAAATAATCGAGGATCGGATAATTCGTCGAACACAAATACAGCACCGTCCACGACGGAAAACCGTGACCCTCTGCCGAATCCCTGGGCGCCTAGATCGACAGGTGGATCTACCGGTACGGGTGGTAGCGGTGCCAACACTGCAGGGTCAACTCCGTCGGCTCCGGGCTTGGGCTCGATAATGAATCAGCCCGGGATCCAGTCTCTGATGACGCAATTGCAATCCAACCCCGAAATGATGCAAAACATGATGTCGTCACCATATATGGAAGCCATGATGCAGTCTCTGGCATCGAACCCACAGGTTGCGGATCAGCTCATCGCGAGCAATCCCCTATTCGCCAATAATCCCGCGATCCAGGAGCAGATGCGACAGAACCTTCCGCAGATCCTCGAACAGATGCAAAACCCTCAAATGCGCCAGCTGCTCGCCAACCCACAAGCTCTGGACGCCATTCGGAGGATCCAGGACGGTATGTCCGAGCTCAGCCGGATCGCCCCGAATGTTTTCGGTGGGCAAGGCCCCCTGGCCGGATCCGGGATCGGCACGACCACGGCTGCACCGAACACGACGGGAACCACGACTACTACCACCTCGAACAGCACGGCACCCAATCCACCGCTCGGCGGAGATTCCGAGGCATTGGGAAGCCTCATGGCGAATCTACTCCAGGGTGGCTTGGGTAGGGCACCGACCGACGGAAGTCTGGGTACCGGTCTTGGCAATCTTGGCGCTCAACCTCCCGAGGAGCGTTACAGAGCTCAACTAGAACAGCTGACAGCCATGGGTTTCGTGAATCGAGAAGCGAACATTCGAGCTTTGGTGGCCTCGTTCGGCGATGTTAACGGTGCCATTGAAAGACTCCTCCAGTCGCAGTGAACAAATTTACTCAAGAGGAAACAAGTGACAAAATCAAACAGAAGATACAGTATAATAAATCAACAGTACCATAAAATAATATAATAATCACATGTCGGCTTGAACGTAATGGAGGAAGATCCCCCTCTATACATTTATCAACCGACCTACAAACATTCTTATATATTTATATATGAATCCTCTTGGGTGGTAGCTGATCTGTTAGTTGGTCCGTCGGTCGATCAGTCGCTCAGTCGGACAACACCCGGACGGACGTAGAAGAGTTTCGCATTTAGACATGAGAGTCATCCGTTGAGCACTGATCGAGATGACGACGAGGACGTCAGCTGCCTAAGAATGTTCCGATGGGGAAATGTCAATGACCATGTGACTTGTTGAATTCGACCGGTTTGTCGGAGGGTGGTTCTGAGTCTCGGCTGAACTTCGTGTTTGGTTGGCTGTAGTCGAATTCTGTCTGGAGGTTTTGCAGAAAAAGGAGATGAGGGATCCATGATGAACATGAGAGATGATGAGCTGGTTGATTAGTCCATTGTTTTCTTAATTGTAATTGTGCGGACATTAATCTTTTTTCCCTCGACCAGGTAACCTCGAGAAGAGCAGTGAATACTTCCAGCCTGTGTTGACTGCTCCAAATAAAGTTAACGTTTTGCACATCTGTGAAATCCTGATTGAATATCCTAATCACCAAGTCCATTCGTCTCTGGATTGCTTCTAGAAGTTTCTCCGCCTGTCCAGAAGATTCTGGGTATCGCGTGTCTTGTCAGAAGCGAATCGATGCGCACTTCCAGCGATCGAGACTTCCGATTTCAGTCAATCTGCGGAAGGAGGCAGTAATCTATGAGAATACTATTATTGGAAAGCCATCCAGAGACCATCTCTCGAGAAAGTTACTGACATTGACAAAGTTACTGAGAGATTTGCTGGGATGAGAGACCGCTTGAGGGGATTGCGAGTCACCGATCGACAAAAATTCTTCCCGAGACAAAAATTTCTCACGTCGGCTAGACACTCAACACCTAATGGACGAATGAAGTCTTGCGCGCACATGACGAGCAGCCAAAGTGCGATCATCGATCGCAGCGGAAATACTCAGTCAGGTTGGTGTGTTGGTGTCATAGGCGCCGCGCCGACGGTATACACATATTCCCCCCTCTGAAGTAAGCGTCTCCAATACCAGCTGGGCGGGGGGATGCCGCATTTGATGAAACAGAATTGGCGGTTCTTCACGACTTCATCACTCGGTGTCGAGCTGAGGCATAAAGATGCTGTGAGCGTAAAGGGACGGCGAACCTAGAGGACCCGCGCTTTAGTCGTCGGCGCAGATGATCCGTGAGTACCCGGACGTACCCCCGAATACAGATAGACAATTGAATGGCCGCAAGAGTTTATCGGTTCACGCACTGGAGCGAACCGCCAAGGATGCTTCTATATGTCATCCCATCCAAAAGCTTCGAGCCATCGATATTGAGTCAGGTAAACCGAGGCAGGAGCATAATGTTTCAGAATGCGCATCGTGCTAAGATTCTGGACTTCTCGAGGTCGGGTTCTCCCCGTGGATCGTCTCTGCTCCGTTTTAATTCTAGAATCGGAAACCCCCAGTCCATTGCCGCTTCTATATGCATACATCATTGTATCTATATAAATATCCGCGGCAAAGTATGTATGGGAGCTCCAGGGAGTCATGTCCTGAGCACAAATGTGCAGATACAACGCATAGATTACATCTTCCAAACACTCCCATTGAGAAAATTCTCCCTTTCCACAAGAATCTCGTGCGTAACGCAGACGGAATGAGAACAGACGGAACTCGCAGGATCCGGCCGTCAGTCGGCATCCGTGGAGTGTTCGCATCCCACTCGGAGGGCAGATCGAGCGATCGACACGAAAATCAGCAAGGATGCCTCGGGGATACTGCTGCCACTCTTTCTAGTTCACGAGCTGATCGCTGTGATCGATCCGACTCCTCAATCATGCGTTCAAATTCTGATTTTCGGCGTCGGAAAACAGATCATGGGATGGAGATCAAGGCAGAGTCTGCACTTGGATTTTTCGGATTGCTTGAATTTTTTTCGCTTCGAGAAACCTGGATTCATATATTCCTCAATGACGGACCCCCTCCTCCGTAGTAAGCATAAAAAGCTCGTGAGCTCCGAAGAATCACCCTGGTCCTCCGAAACGCAGGGATTGATCTCGTATCACGTTCCGCTGAACCTGGAAGATCCGGATTTCGCAGTGTTCAATCCTATCCGGCGGGGACCATTCGCTCTGTACGTCACTCTGACATTTGCGTGCTTGCTGAAGCATCTCAAGATTCGGTCGTCGGCAGACACCAGACACCCGCAAGTGCGTGGTGCCTAGCGCGGCATCCTTCTCACGACTGTGAAGTTTCAACGCAGGGGGAAACCAGTCCGTCGATGATGTTTCACGAAAAGATAATTCTTCTCGTAGTCTTCGCGTGTATAACATCCGTCCACGCCACGGGCAAGGATCGTGGTCGGCGGATCTCTCGCGTGAGGGGCATCCCTCTGCAGAGTGAGTTGTCATTTCGATTCTCTGATTCGCAAACCCAGCAGTGCGTCGCATGCGGTACACTGTTAGGAATTTCTCGCGACGAGAACTCATTACGCACGTCAGAGCTCAAAGGTCTGCTGAATTCCGCAGTGAAACCTTTCTACAACCCCCTCCAAGACTTCGTCTGCCTCGATGGATCGAAGAAAATGCCTTTCTCCCGCGTGAACGATGATTACTGCGATTGCCGTGACGGCTCAGATGAGCCAGGGACCTCGGCCTGTCCGAACGCGAACTTCTACTGCGTGAATTTGTCGTACACACCCCTCACGATTCCATCGTCTCGGGTCAATGACGGCATCTGCGGTAGGTGATTCGCGACACGAGATATCGCGCAATCGAGATTGGGAGGGCAGCGCGATGGGCGTCTCGGACTCGGAGGAATATTTCAGCTGGCAATTTTTTCCCCCATAGATTGTTGCGACGGAGGGGACGAATTCGATTCGAAAGCCGACTGTCCGAATACTTGTGAGGAGCTCGGACGGAGCTATCGCGAGGAAGCGAAGCGCAGAGTCAAGATTCTGAATCGAGGGAAGATACTCCGACAGAATCTGGCTCAAGACGGGAAACGGAAGGTGCGGCTTCAGCCAGTTCTTCCTTGGAATTCTCGATGCTTCCCGATTTATCGTACTCCTCACGATCCATTCTCCGAACGGTAGATCGCCTTGGCGAAGCTCCAGATCGCCGAGCTCAAAGTCAAAGTACGAGAAGCTAGGAAAGACGAAGAGGAGAAGGCAGCCTTCAGAAAGCTGTCAGACGAGAAGGAACGAAAGTTACTCGACGACCAAGCGAAAGTCGCGAAGGCTCTGAATAAACGACGTGAGTTCAGATGTCTGAGTGATTGAACGTCTTCAGATCGTGAACGGACTCCCCGGATCCGAATCGAAACCTGATACGTGATCTTCGACGGTGTTCTCTGTAGGCGAAACAGAAGCCGGGCAAAACAAGGAAGGAGAGAGACGCCAAGCCGAAGAGGTTTTCCTCGACCTCGACACAAACGAAGATGATTTTGTGACGTTCGAGGAGCTCACGAACAATTCTGTGCTCGATAAAGACAAAGACGGCAAAGTTTCCGAAGATGAATCGAGGGTTCGTATGCTTCGTCGTGATTCCCTGATCCTCGTCGATCGTACGCTTCTCCTATCCAGGTCCGGCAAGACTTTCGAGCCATTGAAATTCATTCTATTCCTACTTTACTTCCGATCCCCAGTCTTTCCTGCCCTTCCGCGGAGGAGTGGATTCCGAAGAGTTTATAGGGTCGGTCTGGCCCCTTATGAAGCCCCTATGGTTAGCTCGGAACGACAGTCCGTCAGGCACCGGAGCCGCGGTCCCAAATGTCGAGGGTTCTCCCTCGGATTCTGGCTCCGTTGATCAGGCAACACCTCTGCCCGCGGTTCTGGTGGAGCACGATCCTGAAGTCGATGCCGCTGTGCTGACTGCCGAAAGAGCTCGCTCGGAACACAACGAAGCCGAGCAGAAGCGCGAAGAGCTAGAGCAAGAACTCGCGCATCTGGAGGAACTTCTCGCCGGGGATTTCGGGGTGGACTCTGAGTTCGTATCGCTCCACGGGGAATGTTTCGAGCTCAGAGACAGAGAATACATATACAAAATGTGCCCTTTCGACAAGAGCTCACAGCGATCGAGAATCGACGGAATCGAGACGAGTTTGGGTCGATGGGCTAGCTGGGAAGCGCGTGGTGAAATCAAACACGCGGGAATGAAGTTCATCGGTGGTGAGTGTGAAAATATTTTTTTTTCCGAAGGAGAGCTCGATCTGACAGTCCCCCTCGTGGAGAATGAAGGAAAGACCAATTCCATTTATTACATCGGGAGGGACACGAGGAACGTCGACGATTTCCTCACCTCTTCTCTTTTCCACGAATTCTAGGCGCCGAATGCTGGAAGGGTCCAGCACGCTCTGTTCTCGTCGTCCTGGAATGCGGATTAACCAACGAGTTGATATCAGCGAGTGAACCCTCTCGTTGTGAATATATGTTCGAATTCGCGACGCCAGCGGCATGTGTCGCCGGCATGCCCCTCGTACCACAGAGGAGCAAGACAGGAAGGGGACACGATGAGCTTTGAAGTATAATACTGTAAAAACGTTGAGCTCTAGATTTGTTCTGCCTGCGTAATAATGAATCAAGTCAATATTGCGAACGCTGCAATATTGCGAACATGTTCTTACTCGCGACTGATGCTTCATTTCCGGTTCCTGAAAGTGATGAGCGAAATGACGTAGAATGGATCGGCGGAAGGCCGGACTTGAACGACGCTTTGATCTTTGGTTCTCCTTGACCGCGGATTTATTCTCCTTCGAACATTCCGGGCTACAATTACGTGGACGTCTCCTCTCCCGAAAACGTGGCGGTCACCACGATTCGGAGAATCTGATTCAGAAAACGGTATAGGATTGAAGACGTGTTGCGTCAGCATGATCCCCAAGTCAGGCGTTGACAATGATCTGTTTTTCGGGTCGTTGGCTTCACGAAACCGACCAGCGTCAGCTCTCGGACCGCGCGGAGGAATTGCGCTATACTCAATTTCGACGAGTCCTCTCTCACAGTCTGCAATAGGAAGAGGTATCGCCTTATTCCTCCCGAAATCAAGTCAGTCTGATTAGTTTCGAGTTTCAAGGTCTGCAATCGATTGAGTACCCTCACAGGCTCACCTGGTAGCTCTGTAGCCAATCGTAGATATTAATCATTTTACCACATTCGAGATGGAGCTTATAGGCCAAGCTGATGGGGGGCAGTTCGGCTTTGAGCTCCGTAGATTTAACTTGACAGCATTTGCAGTTCAGGTACACCGATGGGGTCGCCAAGGCTTGATGGACCCGGGAGCGCTGGGATGGGTTGAAGAAATTTTCGAGTTCCTTCGCATTCCCTGCGAAACGAATTCCAAAAGTTCAGTCAGAAAATGGAATGGATGATCATCAACCAAGTCCTGATGACCCGTGAAGCGTACTCACGTATGTAGACCTCGTTGTACATTTTCAAGCTCGATGGGGTCTTCAAGGACTTCACGTCGCTCTTCAGCAGACCGATCAGGTCTTCCTTGACGACGTCGAGTCTCGTCGTTCGCTTTTTCTGAGCAGCCATGAGGAGCTTACTCTTCAGTTCGAATCTGAGCGGAGAAATTTACTCAGCGAATCTTCTCGGCTCGAATTCTCGAGAGACCGCGAAGTCTCGGGAGAGAACGAAACCACCGAGAACTCACCTTGATTTCACGTCTGAGAAATTCGTGTCTTCGTTCTCCGCAAGGTTCTCCTGAAGGTCTTCCTCGAAAAGTCGCCGAATAAGGTCCACGATACTCTCGAGAAGATCTTCCCTCAAGATTTGGTCGCTCTCTTTCGTTTTCTCAATGTACGACTGAAGTGACAGAGGAGCGCCGATGTAAGATGAGAGAGCCAAGAAAGAAATCCGCCGATTCTCGTGAGAATCCGATGAGAGCAAAGAGACTCACCATCAATCTCGACTTCAGCTCATCGGTTGACAGGAACTTGATGGTCTGCTCTACTTTCTTGAAAATTACTGACTCTAGAAAATTGTCTTTCTGCAAGGCGAGGTAGCACTCCTTAAAATTGACGGATTTAGATTCTCCAAGAGCTATGAAAAGCTTCGATAGCTCTTCAAGATGAAGGTCCGTATCGTGGTGTGCGAGATGAGCTTCGTCGACCTCCACATCTGGAATCCAAAACTCTGATGCCCTTACGGAGTCGGAGACTGTCTAATGATCATCCTTGGGCGAATGTCTCACAAGTGAGGAGCCAGACGCAGAACCCACCCAATCCGGGCTGGAAAAGGGCTTCTATCACGTTCTCATCCACTGTCTGCAGGTGCAGGGTGAGCGCGACTCTGAGAATGTGCAGCAGAGTCGTGAGTGAGAAATCGTGGAATAAGACAAAATCATTCAGCCAATTGTACACCTGGAAGATAAGAGCGGAATGTCTCGTATACGCGGACGCAGTGGAGTTCGATGAAGCCCGAGCTTCCGAAGCGGGGTGGACTGACCTCTGGCGAGAGTTTGAGGGGGAAGTCGCGGTTCAAAACCAGCAACTCGAAGATTTCCGCCAATGTTTCAGGGACAGGAGGAGATGTGAACGTCTGGATCGACAGACAAGACGAGCACTTGAAAGTCAGGAGCTTATGCACACTCTGGGACGTTGAAGACATGCCTTCAAGAAAGAAAAGTAGTTCCGGATCCAATGCAATGCAACGGAGCATCTGCGCTTCACCGAACGACATTCGTCTCTGTTTGACTGACCGAAAACGAGACACGTCTCCATGGTGTCTAGGTGATTCTTCAGAATGAGACAAAAGTCCTCTAGGATCGTTGGGGCGACTGAGGTTACATCTTCGATTATGATAATCACCTTCGTGCCGGTGACCGAAGGTTTGGCGTCTAGAAACGGGCAAGGCAATTTTTTCATTAGGTTTGGAACCTAATCTCGATCGATATCATAGTCGCGTTCATAGTGCATAGTGCACATGAGCAGGGGGCTCACCTCGTCTCTTTTTTGGACTTCGCTGTCTCTCCGCCGCATTCTTCGTAATCAATTTGAAGATCTGGACGAGATTCTCGAACGTCACGAGGCTCTTTTTCAATCGTGGCGCATCGTTAGGACACGCAGCGTCCACGAATTCGTGGAACAGCTTCTGGACTATGGAGCTAAGAGAATGGCAATCTATAGGGGTTAGCCGGCAGACCAACTCGGTCGTCCCAGTCAGTTGTGATGCGAGCTCTTCGAATATTCCTGGAAGCGATCGATCCGTTTATGAGGACCGGAACTGGAACCAGCTTGGGGGCCTCGGAAACGGTCTCAGACATTTGAAAAATCTATACCTGACTGATCGGAGACGCTCGAGCCAAACCGCAACGTTGCGGTGCAAATGTCTTGCGAGATCGGGAAGTTTTTGAAATAGGTGCAGACGTCCTCGATCAGTCTTTCATGCTTCCTCACGTGGAAGGCACAGATCTGGAGAGAAAGTAGAACGATACCGATTGCGGAGGTATTCGCGAAGCGTCCGAGCCTAAGCGCATCCTCTGAAATGTTCGTATGCCCCCCATCCGCAAGGAGCCGCCGGACGACATGGATTGATCACAACTCGAGGAGAAACCCATATCCAATCGCAAGTAATTCCGCAAATCTCCCGAAGACCCGAATTCAATGAGGTCATGTTTAAATCCCACGATACCTTGCTCTCAAGATCCTCCCATTTCGAGATGTACCGCGATAGAGGACCTTTCTTCGGTTTCGGCGGTTTTCTGACATGACACGATCTTGAGATAAGTGGCGTGTCCATTATGGACTCGGGTTGGACTTTCGAATCCTCTCTCCGAACGATTCTCTCTACGATCCGGACTCTGTGTATCCTGCCGATACAGAAGAGCGGCGGTTCCCGCCACAAACATTTCCGATGAAAACAGGTGAGACGGTTCCAATAGAAGCTTCGCCCAGCGTGGTGGCGGTCCGAACCGCTTTGGGAAAGGGCTGAAACCCGACGAAATCCACGAAAATGACAACGGGACAGTCTGAGTCCAGAGTCAGATCATTGTTCGCTTGATATCGCGATTTGATTGAACCACAACCAATCGAATATATCGATCTTGAGACAGAGAGACAGCGGGAGGAGTGAAGGTTCTCACGTCGACTCTACGCTACGACCAAGAAAGCACCGAGAAGTGATAAGAGATGCGAGATGGAGAGAGGCTTTTGAGTTTAAGTTCATGACAAGCGGCGATGCTTCAAACATTCAGTTGACATCACATCGTGTTGAGTGCTCCGGAGGCACGATGACCGAGAGTGAAGTAGAAAACTGCGAGAGCAGAGCTTCGTTCTATCAAGAGGATGACGACCAGGAGATTCTCGGAGAACCTCATGACCAGGTTAGTGCGCTCATCGATCAGCTGGTCGTAGAGTGAAGCTTCGGATAAAGCCCTCCATGCAGTTATTCGCTCGAGTTACGAGCTCAGATGCAGATACGGACATCATTGTCCCAAGTATCTTGATTAGAGACTTGCGGAGGATCGACTCCATTCAATTTTTCTGCGTAGGCGTTCTTGACGATGAGTCACCGACTCAAGTTTTTCTCGATCCTGGAACCATGAATGAGTAGGTCTCTGAGTTGTCGGTTGTCGCTTGCGAAAATTATAAAAAGTCCGAAGTCCTCGGCTCCCTATTGCCGACTTCGCGCCGCTTCCTGCGATTCCCGTCCTGCACGAAGAGATCCCGCTAAAGCTGATTTCCGGCTCGAACACATCTTCCTGAGAGAAACTAGTCCAGCTGGGGTCGGGAGTCGAGAGCGCTGGATTCTCGGGATGATCTCCCGAGGAGATTGAAACCCTAGAAAAAATCCCCAATTTTCCGCAGCTCCCCCGCTCTCGCGACATTCCTCGCGACCATACTCCGTGGTTCGGATGGGAGACGGATCGTCCCAGATATTCGATTAGAGCAGGTCACGGAGGTTCGGGAGTCACGTTCGTACTATCCCTGCAGTTTCTCAGCGATATTCCGCTGGGCGATCTCTAATCCATAATGAATCCCTTCCAAAATCCCTGAGACCTTAGATCCTCCGGTACATCGCCGGCTCGAAAGAGCCATACATATCGAAGCATGGGAATACCTCGGGGACACTCTTCATCATATGATATCAGCCTCACACGAGTCCGCAGAAAAATAAATCTCATTCTTCTTGTAGATCGATGCGTCCATCATACGAGCGCGCCGCACGAGCAGTTCTTCCAACAGCGTTCGAAGAGAAATTCTCGGCAGTCTCAAACTGATTTCCCAGAAGTATGAGGTTTGTATCAGCTCGTTCGATAACCGAATGAGGAGATTTGAACCCGTCTGTAGTGATCTCCCGCGGCATCCGGCTTCCATTCTGACTCACGATGTTGATTACGTGAAAGATTTCGAAATTCCCCTTTTTCAGAGCTTGGACTACGATGCTTGCGAAAGCCAGCTCTTCATCGAAGAGCACCACAAATTGATGAAAAATAAGTTCGTAAGTGTGCCTGCTCGCTACGAAATGAGCGCTCACCAGAATCATTCGGAAGCATGTCGGTCCCATACTGCCTGTCATCTGTCATTCAGGTTCTCTTCGGTGGTATTCATGGCTTGGAATTCCCTTGCAGAGGTCGACGGCAATCGAACTTCAGAGATGGTTCATCATTCTGTTGATCGGTGTTTTGACCGCTTTCACCGCGGTTTTCATCGACATCTCCATCGAGAAGCTTTCGGAAATCAAATTCAGAGTCATCGAGCGAATGATGAACCGGTATGCTCAGAAAACCCTTGAAGATGCTGAGGCGAAACTCTATCGGCATTCCCGGCGACTCTCGGCGATCGGAGACTTCCGAATCTCCGGTCGTTCCGAAAGCTCTTCGTTCCTTTTTCTGAATCTCTGTTCCTCCCCAATTTCCAGATGCGTTCACGAGAATTGCTTGGTGCAACCGTACATGGCCTGGGTGTTGGCAAACGCAGTCCCTGTCTTCATCGGATCAGTTCTCGTCACATATGTCGCACCCGTAGCAGCCGGGAGTGGTATCCCAGTGATAAAATGCTACCTGAACGGCGTGAAAGTTCCTGAAGTGGTCAGGTGAGTTTCTTTGCATTCCCCTTGCCTTGGCATCCATCTCATCGACTCCATCGATCTCGTGAGCCGGTACTAACTGTCCATTTCCCCCGTGCAGGATAAAAACCCTCATTGTCAAAGCGATCGGGGTGATCCTAAGTGTGGTAGGAGGCCTAGCTGTCGGGAAGGAAGGTCCCATGATTCATTGCGGAGCCGTGATAGCTGCTGGAATCAGTCAAGGGAAGAGTACCTCTCTGAAAAAAGATTTCCGCATCTTCCACGAGTTCAGACAAGACCACGAGAAACGAGACTTCGTGTCTGCCGGAGCCGCTGCGGGTAGGTCTTCTCGGGATCGTTGATTCATCAAAGCGTGCATGAATAGCTGGAGGGCCGCATCTCGAGGAAAAGATTTCCCCTTCCAATCCTTCGAGTGATTGACGAACTCATTTCCCTCATCGAAACAGGTGTCGCGGCCGCTTTCGGAGCGCCCGTCGGCGGAGTGCTCTTCTCTCTGGAAGAAGGAGCGTCGTTCTGGAATCAAGCACTGACATGGAGAATTTTCTTCTGCTCAACTGTCAGTGCTTTTGTGTTATCCTTCTGCTTATCGATCTATCACGGTGAGCCAGGTGTATTGTCCAGCACCGGTTTGTTGAACTTCGGTACCTTCGGAAATGTGAGTTTCTATAAACGTCGGCGATCTCGATCGTTTGCTCATACTCTGCAGCTCAGTCATTATCAGCGGAAACTCTCGGTGATTTCCAATCATGTCTCCATTCTTTCTGCAGTCTGTGCAATGGGAGATCATGGAGATTCCTCTCTACGTCCTCATGGGCGCGATAGGAGGTGCTCTGGGAGCGCTCTACAACTACCTCAATTACCGCCTTTCTGTCTTCCGGGCTCGATTCATCCACCAAAACTCAATGAAAGTGCTCGAGAGTGTTCTTGTTGCCGTCATGAGCGCCACCGTTGCTTTTATCATGATCGAGCTGTCCAACGATTGCTCCGCGCAAGAGGACGAAAAACATACGGACAATTCCCTCCAGGTAAGCTAAGAGGATGGATTCGGAGAAGGGTTCCATTTTCTCATCCGTGCGAGTCCTAACCGAGACTTCTCCATACAGTTCCACTGCAAAGACGGACGCTACTCAGCCATCGGTCAACTATGGTTCCAAACACCCGAAAAGTCCGTGCAGTCGCTCTTCCACATGTCGCAAGGGACCTGGTCTCCTTACACCCTTATGCCTTTCTTCCTAGTCTATTTTATCTTGAATTGTTGGACCTACGGGTTGTCGGTGTCGTCTGGAGTCTTCATCCCGACTCTGTTGATGGGGGGTGTATTCGGAAGGTAAATTCAATGTGACCATGACGTTTCTGAATTAAGACTCATCCGGGCTCATTCGATGTCGGGCTCCGAAGCCTCATCTGCAGAAGCTGTCGCATCCTCTAACGATGCTGTTTATTCAATCTCAGGCTGTTCGGAATGGGTGTCCGGAGCATTGTGAACTACTGGGACTACGATTGGGATGTAAACTGCGGCAAATTCGCCCTGATCGGAGCCGCAGCCATGCTGGGAGGCGTAGTGCGCATGACGTTGTCGCTTTCTGTCATTCTCATTGAAGCCACCCGGAACATCACTTTCTGTTTGCCCATCGTCATAACTCTCATCGTCGCTAAATGGGTCGGCGACTATCTCTTCGAGGGTCTCTACGACTTCCACTTCCAGCTGGCGAGGGTTCCGTTCCTAAATTGGGAAGCTCCGAATGAAGGACACCATATATACGCGAGGTTAGTTTCATAATAGCAATCAATATCCAAAAAGTGATTCCGATGCTGAAATTTCTTAACTCAGATGAATTGATTCGATTCTGTCTACATTTCAGCGAAATTATGGCTTTCCCTGTCACCACGCTTCCGCCCGTTATCAAAGTAGGCGATCTGATGGACATTCTCTCCAAGACAACGCACAATGGTTTCCCAGTGACAGACGGCTGTCCAGACCCCGTGTCAGACCTCAAAAGCGGTCTTTCTGTCAACAGACCGAAGCACTTTGGAACGTAAGTATAATCGGCCGGTACTCACTCCATTTATTGGACCCGAATGCGATATCACTGCTCATTAGAGCTAGGCTGCGAGACTGAAGGTTGGGAATGCCCGGTTCCCAGATTCCGAGGATTGATTCTACGTGACCAGCTGATTGTACTCCTGCAAAACAAGATCTTCAACGAGAGCGTCGACATCGTGTGGTCCCGTGTGGGAAGTCGTGATTTCCGGCAGCCGTATCCCCGATACGCGAGCGTCAACGTGAGTTTCCCGGGGAATCTTGATTCTTTGAGCTAAGCCGGTGATTGATTGACGGCTATCGATATGAAGCGCAAGCGAACGTGAGCCACTCAATCCCACGTCTGTCCATTACAGCAAGTTCACGTTTCGCTCATGGAGAGAAACTTCCACATCGATCTGAGACCGTTCATGAATTTCTCAGCCTACAGTATATCGCATGTAAGTACCAAAGGATCAGAGACTTTGATTGCGGTATCATCCTCATGGGCGTTTTCCTAGTTTCTTCTTCTCCACAGAACTCCTCTCTCTTCCGGATTCATAAATTGTTCCGGGCGCTTGGTCTTAGACATCTGACGGTGGTCAACGATCAGAACGAAGTAGTTGGAATGATCACTCGGAAAGACCTGGCTGTTTTCCGAACTCACAATAGATTCGGTAAAACGACTCTCGAGACCCTCCATGTCTCTCACGGATAGTACGGAATTGAGCCCCCGTGTGCTTTGTAAAAAGAAGGAAAGATATAGTAGAACGTCGAGCTCAAGAGTTTAGCTCGATGCGAGCAATCTCGAGATGTAAAAATTGTTACTATGAGGTTTTTGCCAAATCTTCCATCGGAAGCTGGTGTGCCGATCTCAGGCTACATCGAAGTTGTCGAACTTTTTTCGATTTAACGTATGACTGTTTTACCTGCGTCGATTATGAGAGATTTATGAGGGGAACCCTAAGTACTCTCCGGATGAAAGCGGTTTTTTACTCGACCGTGGAACTCAAGAAACCCTCTGCGGAATTGAGGGTTCGGAATTTCAGGCCGAAGATTTGTATCATATAAGCTTATAAAACGCCACAAGGAGGTGGAATAAAGATCATCTGAGGATCGCTTGAACTTGGCTTGCTGAATCGAAAAGGACACTGCCATCACAGGCGATGAGAGCCTTATGACGGGTGAGGACGATAGGGATGGGTTCCGACGCTCAAGTGTAGCATGCTTTGTCGTTCGCTCGGACGCCCGAATTCGCGCAAAAGACACATACCGACGGCCATCGGAACGGGGGCCTCTCGGAAAGCCGACCCTCACTAGACACACGGGGATTATCAGCGAGGTTGCGTAAATAATTCCATCCCCTACAAAATCCGGGTTACCCTTAATGGATCTTATCTGAGCGTTTCCTGAGGGCAATCGCTAGTAATTCGCTTGGGCAATCGCCTGGCGAAGCTCTTCATCGTTTCCGAGATCTTCCGCGAGTTGTTGATCCGACACCGAGACCTCTCCGAGCCGAGTGCGCTCCTATCCTACCAATGTATACAGATGAAGCAGAGAGATGGATCTAGGGAGCACACTGCTCCGTGTATTCATGCCTCCAGCTGGCTCTTGACGCAGCTCGCTGTATTATGCGCGGAACAGATAATCAGGACGCGACATTCGAATGAGAGCTCCCCAATCGTTACCGAATTAATCCTGGGAAGCACCAATATCTCACTAAACCTCTCAAGGTATGATTCCTCTCTGGCCCATCAGAATCGTTGATGTCTCAGGCTGATTCATGAAAAACTGGCCTTGAGTAGCGAGTCTCTCCTGCAGGAAATACACTCTTGTAGCTTCGATGAGGTCTTCTTGGCCTCTTCCAGAGATTCTCCGACTCGAGCTTGATTAGTGAATCAATGATTACTGTCGATACCGTAAACGTCGCTGTAGACTTCCAATTATTCCTCGCTCAGCGGCTCCTCGATTTCTGTTAATGAGCGGACTGCGCCTGGGACGAGGGTTCCTATCATCATTATAAGCCGCCGAAGCGCGTCCCTGTGACTGTGAAGTATGTTCCTTCACGCGATGCCTACTCGACTTCACTCGAGCTGCTATCCCTCGAAAACAGGTTTTGACTCCAGTTTGCCAATTCGGATTGTTGCTCTTGTCTATCGTGCCGTAGCGGACGAGCCTCCCCACCGCCCCCTCTGCAGGCTAGGATTCGGGTCTGATAGCTTAAGGCAAATGACTTGAACTGACTCGGGTTCGACGACGCAACGATTGGGAATGCGACAACTCCTTATCTTCCGAAGCATCCCAGATCGAATATACCGCCGTCCGTATTCGGCAAAACTATACTGTATCCTTTCACAAGGAACCGTCTCAATCTAAGTTGGATCAGTGTCGTAGGGATGGTCCGGATGGACCAGCAGACCATACACTGATCTATTTCCAAACGGAGGAGAGGTTACTGTTGCGGATTTATGCACATATAATATCGAGATCGAAACATACCGCTTGAGGTTCCAGGAGAATTTGATTCGAAGACTTCATAGATAATAATAAGCCTCTCCAAACAACCATGGCCGTCCCCGCCATGCATGATCTCCCGAGGGTCATGAGCCTTTTATGAGCGAGATTCCTAAAAAAGCTCGCCTGTGGAAGAACGAGGCCGCCTAGACTTTAGAGCCCACGGTCACTGGGCTCCAGGTCAACGACGCACAATGGCCACAAGTTCTTCCAAGTACCTGCTTCGTTTCTACGGGCTCCATTATGGAAAAACAGAAAGCGTGGTGATCGTCATAGGATCGAATATGCCGGCTCCAAGGTTCGGGAAGCGGCGATTTTTTCAGACTCAGGCTCGCAGGGAAACATCTGCGTCCATCCAATAGGCTCCCAATGAAATCGGTTCCAGTCTCCGGAGACTCCGACGATACGAGGGGCATCACCATTGGACACACCTAACTGGCGCTACTGGGGATTGGAATACATAATTCCTCCATGCGATTTCCTACGGAAAGCTAGAATTAGCACCTCCGGTACGATCGGCAAAATCCATACTAGATCCTCCGGCGTCGCATCGGACAAGACACTCGAGCCAGACTCGGACGCTGGAAACGGAAGTTCGTCATCCGCAAGCAGAATCATGAGGACTGCTATCGTTCTTGCAGCTGTGAAACATTTCATTTATTTCGTCCGTCCGGATGAATTTCCACGTCATTTCATTTTTTATCGTTTCGTGGTTCCGTTGCCGTCTTTCCATCGATGGTACTGTTTCTGGTTTGCTAATAAAATCTCCAGTATTCTTGCCTTCGATATTCGATTCCTCTTTACAGCCTCATCAATTCGATTCCCATTCTGACATCATTTAGTTAGATCTCAATTAAAATATGTTACACTATGTACAACCTACATAATCTTTACCGGAATAGCTTTCTTGTGTTTTCGAAAATGTCTTCCCTCGAAGAAACCGCTGTCGCTCGATTACAACGACCTGCCATAGGGCTCAAGGCAGAACGCTTCCGCGAACCTTTCGATAGTCAGCAGCGCCTCAGAGAGAACCCAGCCATCTGTGCTTTCTCATTTCCGGCAATATAATTTCGAGGAACGTCAAAACACCACAGTTTGATTCAATAATTCTCGATCCGCTGAACCCCTGTACCTCGCGCACAGTCTCGAATTCGTTGCACGTGGGGATCGCATTTTTCCATCCGGGGAGTTCAGACCTAAGAGTCCTCGAGATCCGCGATTCGGTCACGTCGCGCGAAGACACTGCGATCCTTAGAATCCAATTTATGAGGGTATTCGATAGTTGCTCACTCTGATTACCGTCCGGGTTTCGCTTCTTCTCCCGCGGTATGTCAAGGTGGGTTGGGTCCCCCCCACCACTCACCCCTATCCGTCCCCTTCTGCCGCACAACGCTTTCAGAAAGATATTATTATTGATATACGAGCCGAAGCCGAGACAAGTCGATAGCAAAAATATTCAGATCCTCACGAACATCAGCGCTTTGCGAGTTTTGTTTGGCACCAACCAAACGCAGCAAAGCAGGCCCCAAGTCATCTTCCCTCCAAAAATGACGAATCTCATAAGTGACGATTATTGACCCCCTCTGCAGGCGCGGGAGTCCGGAACCTCTACTGTACACCGAACGTTCGATTCCCGGCTCCGCTTGACCCATATTGGCCCAAATATTTTCACATTTTTCCGAAAAAGTATTTGCTCGATTCTGCCACGGCCTTTCTTTCCCGCGCACGAGTTATACGAGATAAAAGTCGATAATTTTTTGTTCATCATCAGGAGATCGTCCCGATCCTGAAGCGAATTGTACAGACCCCGAAGATGGCACAGGATCCCGAGACCTATCGGGTCTGAATTTTTTCTACTCCCGTGCTAATCCATCTCCTCCCTTAATTCAACTCCTCCTAAGCTCTGCTACTTTATCTGGTCAGGTTCGGGCCCCCGCTATCAGCGGGTTAGAGCGCCGCCCTCCCAAAATATTCTCCGGTAATAATTCAGTCCATTACTACGGGGAGTAGAGCTCAATGTGTTCGCAGCGGGCATTTCCCGCACTAGTACTCGGATCATCCTAGACACTTAGGTTCGAACGATTCTGACAGCTACGACTACAGATCTCCTACATGCTCTAGGCGCCAACACGCTCGCTAAATATTCACAGAAAAGTGGTGGGTTCTCGTAGGTGCCATCGCTTAATATTTCGTTCCTAAATGGCGGTGGTGTCGGCGGCGACAACGGTGTCATTGCTATGAGGTGGATGCCTTCATTTCCGTCAGTCTCTCTGTCTGCCTTGATGCTGCATTCTACAGAGGGCCGAAGTGTTCGAGAAGTGGTAGAAATGGCTGGGAGTGAATGCGGTGCGTCACTAGAAAATCTGATGGAATCCGACTTTGAGCTTTGAATGGAAAACAAACTTATCTTCGAGTGATATAGAAGGTCAGAACAGTGTAGCCTATGAAGAACTCGTTGAAGCGACGCGGACCCCCTCTCGATGTGTTTCATGCACTGATCGATTGATCGATTGATCGACTGACGTATTGACTAGCGACTGCCGGAAAACCACCCGAGGGGTTTGTTCTCCTCCGCTCTCCAAGGAGAGTGTAACAGTCAACGACAACTCCGACGTTGCGCTCGATTACGTTTCACGGAAATGAGAGGAAGAATCCTCAAGGAACGTGAAGTATGAGCGGGAACTCAAAAGGCTTGAGGCTCCACCCGTGCTGGAGCGGACTCATCGATTCGGGGGTTTCGTTGTTGCACGTTTGATTCCCGAGGTTCTCATACTTGAACGAAATCAATAACAAGTGACGTGAGCCTTGTGTGAGTTGGAAGACTCACTATGAAATGATCATAATGTACACAGCTTCACCATATAATCGATTTGGCCAGATGAGCTTTCGTCTTCTCTTGTCGTCTCTTTCCTCGACAGGTGTCGATCTCGAAGAATTTTCTCTTTCTCGTGACGATGTGTTGATATCCTTCAGGATAACGGAAACACGTCGTTTTCTCTTCGAATGGCGAAAGAGCAACGTCCAATCGCAGCTGGCGGAATCCAACCGCACTGCATCGGTCTGCTTCAGTGTCGCCCGAGTTCAGAGCTTGTATTTTTTCGTTCAGTATAATAAATATCACACTTCGCACTCAAGGTCGATGGAATCTGGAATCAAGAGAACTTCAGTGAGAATCGCAGTTTTCTATGTAACATATTGTGGGGAGAACTCTCGGTGAAGGAACTGATTTCTCTCAGCATTTCTTAATAATTCATTCCGTTGCATCACCTTGTGAGATGTCGACTCTCTTCGTGAACCTCCATCTCTTGTGCCTTGAACTCATTGAGCTCCTTACGAATCATGGCCTTGTCTTTTGGCGTCAGTCGCGTCCACGGTTTATCGGCGCGTCTGTCGTAATCGTGAGCTTGCGTGACCTCGACGTAGTCATTGAAACGGATGATTTTCCGTTCCTTAAGCTCCTCAATCGTCGGACGGAAACTCAGTTTCCTAATAAGCACCTAGAATAGCAGGCGAGCAGGGATTAGAAGGATTTGACGATGAGATACTCCTCGGAGCATCCTAGATCATCCTAGAAGGTCGTGAAGTCCGAGTTTCGGAGTGAACGGGCTCCCTCCGATACCTGCAGCGTCTCTTTCCGTAATTCTCGAAGCTCGGCTAAAACCCGTACCTTTTTCTTCATATCCTTCTCCTTCAAGCGCTCTTCTGGCGTATTTTGGTAGAGAATATTTCTCTGCTCAAGTTCTTCAGCTGTTGGCCTCAAACTCAGTCTTCGAGTTAGCTTTCCACTCAAGGCTTCTCGTGTTGCAGCGCGATCTCGGAAATAACTTTCATCTTTCAGAATGTTTCGATCGATTAGCTCTTGTCTGCGAAGTGAAACGAGCCCGGTCAGATTGACAGCTTCGGTCATCGAAGTCAAAGCCTCTCTCAGTCACCCCCATAACCGTTTCTCCGGACCCCAGTACGCGCTCTTTCCGGAAAAAAACGGTTCATGACCTTTGCAAATACGCTCGAAATGCGATTAGCTAAGATCCACCCATCAGCTCTGAATCATAAATGGATGTACTTGTATTGAATCATGAGCCCTCGCGATTCGCGATCGAGCGCGAGAGATCAGTCGAGTTAGCCGTTAGGGAGACCTCTGTCACACATGATTTTCTGCGCGCGAGCCACTTACTTATCGGGCCTTTGTGCGAGCTTGAGCGCTAACGAATCCTTCCGAGCTATCTTCGCTTGGAGGCGTCCTTGTTCGTCGTCTCCGTAGTAATCGCGCCATTTCACTGGGTCGTCTTCGTCATCGCTGTCCTGATTGGATGACACTGAGTTGAATCGTGCTAGTACTGACGGATATGGTGGCGGAGGTTTCAAGGGGAGTCCTCCGCTTCCCGCGCTCTTGTTCTCCTTGTCCTGCATCGCTGCACTATACGACGGCGGAGCCTATCGACGGGGAGAAGAACATCAGCGGATAAATCGACGATTCCCTAGGCGGGGAAAGTTTTCCGACGGATTGTTGAATTCCCCCGTCGGTACCTCTGTCTGAGAATAGCGAGGTCGATAGAAGGAGGCTTCATCTGCTCGACTTCGATGGGATCGGTAAACTCACCTTGTTAAATGGAAGGCCGTTTTGTCCACTAGAATTCGTCGGCCGCAGCCGCAATTGTGCTAAACTCACAGCGGTGACAAGAGGTTGTTGAGCCACTGTCGGACTCTCGGGATTCGAACCCACACCATTGGTCAGCTTCGGGGAATTGGGATTATTCCCGTGAACCGATAGAGCAGAAGTCGTCTTTTTCAGCGCGGATTTACGGGGCATCGAAGCGGTTCCTATGGGAGCGGGGGCACCTCCAGTTGGAGTCCCCGACGAGTTGGGCAGGGGTGACGATCGCGCGCCTTGTTCCTTCTCGGTATCTTCGTCTAGGAGAATGAGAGCGAGTTTGAGTTTTCCAAAATTCGTTTCGAGAAGTCGGCATGGGTTAGAATTACCGAGGCGTATACGTGCGATCCAGGTCACTCACCCAAGTTTTGAGGGAGAGGTTTGAACGAGCTGTGCGAACTTTGGAATTGGCTCGAGGCAACGCCTTGCTGCTGCGCCTGGAGCTGCTGCTGTATCTGCTGCTGAACCTGTTGCTGGAGTGTGGAAAAATTCACCATCCTCTCTTGAGCCTGGAGCGGGGGCTGCTGCTGCTGTTGTTGTTGTTGTGCCTAGAATAGGAGACTCGTCTCGTGACCTTGCGATCTTGAATTTCCGGAAATATATCCTCTGGGTGCTTCGGATGTGCTGATGTCTGGCGGTACCGAGCAGTGGAGATCGCTGAGCTCCAGGCGGAGGCAATGAGGTTCCCTCGGACACCCTTCCTCTCTACTCACTTGTTGTTGCTGGAGCAGGAGACTCTGCTGTAGGCCTTGGTGCTTACTGTTGTAGTTGGAAAAGCCGCCGTCATCGGGGTCATCCTCGTCGCAATTCGTTGGCGGAGGAGGAACTGTTGGCAAAGACGGGACTACTGGACAATCGACGGGCAAAGCTCCGACCTTCCCAACCACACACTCAGTGCCAGAGCCTGGAGAAAGGTCGGATATAATAATTACGGCGACCATAAATAACGCTTTCGCGTCTCTTATACGCATCGAGAGCCCCATTATGTCTGTATTCATTGGGTTTGTATAATCCCGGCTCTCATACCATTAGAGGAGCCGTTGGCATGCGGAGGATGAAGCGACGTAGGAGAGTCCCTCTGTTGCTGCATCTGGGAAAACTTGAGGTTGAGACTAGAAGTGACCTGCGCGATCCGCAGTGGAAGGGTTGGAGAAGGAGCCGGTGAGTTCTCATTCGAAAACTCGCGCGGAGGCGGTATGAGACCGACCTCGCCAAGCATGCCCACTCCTTCCTCAACGACACCCAACTCGGGCAGAGCCAGAACCGAAAGAGTTCCATCGGGGACTGCACTTACGAAACCGCCCTTGCCACCTACGAGAGAAAGAGACGAATAACTCTTAGCACAATTGAATCGTTCTCGGTCGCACCTTAACACGACCGTGTCATTCCATGAATCGCGAGCCGAGCAGGTCGGTGAGTCCGCTGGGGACGGCATTTAAGACCAGCAGCGCAGTCTCGTAATTGCTTGGTAGAGCATACAGACTCGCAATCACGAAATGCATTAATTATGATAATGAATATGATGATGGCTGAAAAATGTATCGGGTACGTTTTATGGTCCTGGAGACCTTGTCTACCCTCTTTATATAACCCACGAGTCCAGCAACGACGAGTCCCCCAACGACGAGTCCCCCACCCACTGATGACCAGTGATCGATGTCCCAGGACAGCATCTCATGATCAAGCATATGCTCGGAAGATTGAGGAGGACAAGTTATACTCGATATTTCGAAAAGGGCCGACTTTGTCGGCAAGCAGCGAGGAGCTCTCGATTCGAACGCGTTCGGAAACTATGTCATCAGAGCCGTTCAGAGGAGCTTCGACGGACATCGTCGGTGATCCTCACGCAGGGCCATGCAGCAGGCGTGTCGGATGGCGATGATCTAAAGAAGGTGAAACTGATATCGCGAGACGAGTGGATGAGGATTTTGGCCTAATCGTTTCTCGCCAGAGTCCCGAGATCGAGACAGGCTAGGAAAAGTACGATTATACAACCTGATATACGAAAAAAAACTAATATGCCTGAGGATCGCATGAGAGCTTGAGGGCTCCCTCGTGGAAAACCATCCGTACCGCCGACTGCTTTTCTTCTCATTCAGCTGGATGCCAATCCCTCCCCACTCTACGAGCCTCCTGTGAGACTGGACCCGTTGATAGCTCAACTCACCAAGTTTGGAAATGTCGTGCGAGCCTAAGGGAGGACTGAAATCTTGAGGCTGAAGAACTCCACGCTGTATGAGCTCTTCTTTGGAAGACCGCATTGAGATCTTTCTCTCGAGAGTCCGTGACGTCGCCTCAAACTTCTCAGACTTCTTTTTCCGTCGCCACTTCCACGGCTTGAATAATCTGAAAGAGGAATCGTGAGGTTGACGAATGCGTTCTCCGCTCAAATTCGCGGCGCCACTAATACACAGGACGTCCCCTCCACTCATGAGTCGTCCACGAGAGCGGAGCCTCAGCGGGAGATGGCCGACACGTCTAGGGGCGCGATACGTCTACATGTTTCTATATCGGAATCTCTTGGCCCGGAGCGATCTGCTCGTTCCCCGTCTGTTTGTGCCAACGTGTTGTACTCTACGCTTCCCCCCAGGCCATTCGGAGTTCCTCTGAGGTTCAACAGCCAGGAAATTGAAGGATGTTCCTGAGGACGCCACCCCTTGCGAAATCGAATTTTCTCGGAGCTCTCCGACAGCGAATCGAGGGAGAACCAGACGTCTCCTGACGGAAAGAATTTCCTCCTCATATCTATAGGAGGGGGAAGACAGATGACAACTTTCACGGCGAATTCGACAGAGCACGTTTGCGCCAAAAGTCTTCAGAAAATATACTTGAAGTCTGCGTAGCTCTCAGAGCGCTAGATCTATAATTCAAAGACTCGTGGGACTGGTATTCCTGTGTCGACGAAAAGTCGAGTTCCAGCGCTACATCAGATAATTAGGGGATACGATTCTCACCTGGTCAGTGTAGCCAGCCTACTGCGATGCTGAGACGTGGGTGGTTGATCTCCCATAGGAGAGGGACCCCCACTGCCTCGTTGATTGCTGCCTAAACTCCCGGTGCGGACCGCGATGCCGCCCGGTCCTACGCCTAGGCCTCCACATTTATTACCGGAGACTCCGCCACCAACACCTCCGGTCACTGGAATGGAATAATCAACGTTAATTTCGGGCTTAGAATCATTTGAACATGACCAGGAGGAGTCATTCCGCGCACTGTCAATCTCGATTCGAATCCCGCGAGTCGTATATGATGGCGATTGTCATATATGTGAACGAATTTAACTCGATCCCACGACTCCGGTGGAGGGTTTCGGCTTAATAATTAAACGATTCTCCGGTGGCAATGTTTTCAGGCCAGCCTTCGTTACACTTTGGGGGCTCCATAGTCACAGAACGCGATCAATGCTCGACTTCATTCATCAAGTTCGTGTTCCGCTTGCCGGCGGAGCCATTCACGTCCTCGACAGGATGCTGCTTTCGAGCTAGGCTCATTCCATTTAGTTCATTTAAATTTATTTTCCTGAATCGTTTTCCATTCCAGACTGGCGAATGCTCGTGCGGAATGTTTTCCCGGCTCACGCATGGGAAATTTTGGCTAGCTAGAACCTTTGCTTGAATGCTATCCGCGCCAATCGTTGCGGTTGTGTAGATGGTTATTTTTCGCGTGAGACAGAATTCCGTCTAATGGAAGTGATCTTGTTCATGAGCGCGTGAAAAGGAAATTCTCCTCGTCGCGAATGATCGATCCATGCGACTAGTATCTGATCCGTGGAACCATTGGCCACTCGCCCGCCGATCAATGATCGTAGTCATCGTAACGGGTGATAAATAGCACAGGGTTCTCGACAATCCAGCTGGACGACAGCGCGTTAATGAAGCGTAATCGTGCGTTCGGACGCGAGTCACCTGAGCTCTCTCTCGAATTCGGCTTCCGTTTCAATTAAACTTTCATTCACTGAGATATTTCCAGCCCTTCGCTGATGCCCGGGATGATAATCTCGTTGATGCGCCCGGGAAAACGAGTTGTGCCGTCGGCTCTTATCGTCGTTTCAAGTTGATGAGCACTCTCATCGGGAGAAGTACCCGCGGGGCTCAATTCTAATAACCGGTAATCGGAAATAGAAGGAGTTAACCGAGGGATAGTCCTTCGTGCGAACTCCCCCTCGAACCCTCTCCTGCGCTTTATCACAGAACAACAGCAATCCGCTTCTGGCCGTCGAAACGATGATCCGCCCTAGTAAGGCGGTGGTCCGCTTCCTCTTGCCATTTTTGTTCTGCAAATAATTTCCTTCGCTGCTTGGATTTTTTTCGGTCCGTCCACCAGAATGGGAACCAGAATGAGCCATCTCAGATCCACTGTTGGCTAGCCTGTTCGGCTGACTGACTGGTCCGTTCCGTGAGGAAATGTAGGAAATACTGCGTCGGCTAACTAAAGGATTCCTAAGACGACGGCCAGGAAGAGCTCCACGAGCAGAGAAAAACGTGGAATCGTTTCCAAGTTCGGTTCTTCTTTCACTTCGGAAGCTACTTTCGGCAACGGTCAGCGAAGATAAGCGAGTTTCCGAAGAGCATCGATACTTTTCTACTGGTAGAAGACTACGGGCAGAAACGACTCCCCATCGAGTATCTACAAGATCGCCTTTCACAATGACGGGGGTTTATTCGGGGAGAATTGAAGCGGAGCTCTTCCGGGAAGAAAGATGACATCCATGTACACACGTGATCAGCAGGGGAGGGATTTGAGCCAAGAAAACGGGGAGACAGGAAAAGCGCTAATTTCTGAAAGACGCTCATGATTGATAGATTCCGGTCACAAGTTCGAAATCGAAGCGGTACGATCATCGCGGAGGAGCGAGAAGCCTCTTCCAGGTAGCGGACCAGCTACTCGAAGCAGGACTCAGAAAAAGTCGATTGCTTTCCCCTGTCGAAACTTTTTAGCGCCAGCCTCGCTCGATCTGATCGCCGGCTCGACCGCTTTCTCCCGACTTTGATTCGCGTACGCCATTCAGACAGAATTGTCGGCTTTTGACGAGCTTTCGAACGCTCGATGGCCCAGCCGGCTCCGTGGCATTTCCTCGTCGATGTGGCGTCAACAGGCGTCTGGATAGAATGTAGCCGCTGATTCAAAATCGTATTCGAGATGATCCGGTGCTAAAGTTTTCCGGACGCGTGGCATGAGTATGGTTCTTGAAGAGGCGCGTCATCATTTTGGTCGACCCCCTACAAAACTCCAATTTCCCTCCCCCTCCCCCACAGCAGCCAGGGAAACATCCTGTGCGTGCCTTTGGACCCCGGCTTCCTTCCAATCTTCAAAAGTCTCCGCGGTTCTCTAAGTACAACGGAGACTGGGTGATCATCCCAACTTTTTGTTGACGAAGCAGACCTGCGGCTCAAGCGAAGCAGCTCCACCAATGGTACCCAGAAGACATCCTCTCGGGAATGGGGTTGAAATCCATGAAGGAGACCGCATGGAATGATATTGGACGCGTATATCCGCATCCATATTCTTGAGCCACTTCCAATTTTCGGATGATGGGGGTCTACAAGAGAAAAAATGACCCATCTCGCAGTCTTCAGTGATAAATAGCGGAGCACGAGCTATTATCCGATTCTCGACTCCGGGCCCCACCCGCCCCATCATTGCCCAAGCCACTCAGTGATTCAGCTCACCGTCCACGATGGAGGACACTTCCGCGAGGTTGACGCTCTCGGATTTGAAGTCGCTTGAGGCTCCAGTTCCGTCCGAGATTTAGAAAGCAACGATGGCGAATCAAGAGACGCTCTACTCGGTCTCGTGCATTGAAGCATCTGGTGACATCAATGGGTCCAGTGACATCGATGGAAATGCGCATCATTCGATCGAAGAACCAGCATGCATGAGATCTCTCAAGAAGGCATTTCGACAAGAGGAAGGGGTCTATATCTCGTATTCCGAGTCCGGAAGGTCTCCGGAGCGATAAGCTTCAGGAGCTCTGAGGAACCGCTTCCGGCGTAAGTCAGCTCAGCGAGGCCTAGATTCCATGAGACTTCTTCCCTACCACAAGGAAACGAATCGCGCGGAATCCCGTCTCAAGCTCCCAAACTGAGGTTTCGAAGACTCGAGCTGCGAGTCCACGTGGAATAGATGGGATCGACGATTCACGGGAGTTAGCGACTGCGAGCCTTACGGGCATGCGGGACTTCTCTCATTCGGGCTTCTTCGAGAGAGCACAGATCTATCTCAAGGTTCTCGCCACAAGAGGGCGACGCTCGCAGTCCGAAAAGCCCCGAAATTCGAGCTCCGGAGAAAAAGAAGCAGGGTCGGGTACCGAAATCTTCGATTCGTCGATGGCAGCGGTCGACGCTAACGGGATCATTCTCAGATGAATCCGCTCGGTGAACGAGCCCGTGACAATTTCACGGGACCTCGCCACCGATGAGTGAATCTGTTGTTGACGTCGCAGCGGTGGCGGCGGCGACGATTGTAGCCCGCGTTTACAGTGTCACGCACAAGTAACCGATCATAGAGCAAGGGAGCTTCCGAGATTTCCGCATTTCACAGAAGGTCGAATCTGAGAGGCAATACCCAGAAGAAGTCCTTTCCGTTCGATGCTTCGCTTAAGTTTGTCCGCCCCTCGACTTGAGTGACACGGTTTGACAATAAGCAACCTCAGTTGAGCCAGGAGTCTCTTGTTTGGCTAAGCCGAGAGCAAATCTTGAGCATAGGCACGTGCTCAGATGAGATACGACTCCCAGAATCGTCAGAGGCGTGCCCTATCGAGGTAATGAGCACCAATTAAACAAGTCTGTGCAACCACAGTGGGTACCGTTCCGTGGTCTGCCTGTTCAGTACCGACTGTCGGTGGTCGAAGACGATACTTTACGGAGAAAGTCAGGCGGCTACGAGTTCAAAGATCCCACACGCCGTGATGCTTCTTATAGAGTCCGTCGCGTCGTAAGCGTCGAGGTTGAACCAATGACATTCAAGCCGAATTACATTGATCGCTGGGATCTCTTTTCGAAGAAGAATAGAACAAAAATACGTGATAGATGTACAGGAACTGCACGAAACGCTTAACCCCGACAGTGAACCGCGCTTGACAAGATTCCATCCGTTTAGTGACCTTTCCACGTTTGCAGAACAATTTGAAGACTTAACGTCCTGCTATTCGACGGGTCGTCTGAATCTCTTCTGATCGACCGATGAAAAGGGAATTGAAGACCCACTGGAATCGGGGACCACCATTCCACTTGGTCGATCAGTGGGTTCGACAGGATGATCACCACCGGCTACTTATTTCTGCGACTGATCCGGTTCTTCGCGAATTAAATTTCCAGATCTGGGTTAGCTTAAGTCGGAATCGTTTCCTTGCGAGAAAATCAGATCCAGGGAGGCTGGAGGACTCCGTTTCTACAAGCGAAGCTTTCACGCAAAGAATTCCTCGATGCATTGAGCTAGATTCCATCGCTTCATGCGCCCTGACAGATTACCTCGGGCGCGCGTGACGGTTCCTGAGCCGAGCGTCGAGAGGGGCAAAGGGTTTCAGGGGCTCGTTCCCTCGTGAAGGCCTCCATATCAATACAGCCCGCAGGCCCCCGCCCTTCCGAGCCCGATGAGCACCAGCTGATCGAGACGTCAGCTCGGATACAAGTGCACAGCGATTTTCAGAGTCGAGTCGCACCGAAATCGATGGGAATTCCGACTGACCAGTGTTTTCTTCTGGTTCATGTCAATTTTTCCGGGCTCGGGCAGAGTCAAGGCGTGGTAAGAGGCATCTCGGAGGTATCCCATCAAAGCTCGGGGATTTCCTTAGCTCACGAAATCCACTGATAAACGACTCTTCGAGACGGATCTACTGTCAGAATTAATGTTACTGCGCATTTGCAGATGGTGGAATGAGAGACGGAATGCATTCCTCCGACGTCAACGCTTCACTCTCTTCACCGTGCCAATACCGCGGAATTTTCAGATGACTGGCTCTCAGGTGTGTCTCCCGAGGACGCTGTCTGCTCAGTACGACCAACCGGTAGAACGACCGAAGTTACAAGTTTCCGACTCTCGACAGAATTCGAAACCGTCATGTTCTTA